TCAGCTACAAAAGTTCATTTTGGGGTAAGTTACTCTTTAAGGAGACTACTTACGATGAGCAGTTTTATCTAAATGTGACTCATATTCATGTTATGTCCAGAAAGATTGGAACTCGTTGCCTGTTTTGGCGTTCTTTATAAAGGCAGCCAAAGAGTTATGASAAACCAGGACTGCATTTTTGCATGTTTTTGCAGAAGGTGTTGGTGGGATTATGTATACCACCTGGCTTTGAGCAGCCTCAGGGTCCCTCAGAAACAGCCTAAGGTGACTCTGAGGACATCTGCTTTGATCTGCCTGCTGGTACCAGAACCCACCTGTGTATAATATATGTAGAATATTTTGCATACATATAATGTAGGAAATAGAAAGGAACTTATGGGGACTCTTAATATACAGTTTATGTTTGTATTGACTCTGTGCAGATAATTGGCTGAAATTACCGTTTATCACAAACAATAGAATTTTATTTCTTCATATCAAATTTGAAATTATGTWAAGTGTGAATGAATGCAGCACTTTCATAGGAGAATATTTGAATCAATCATGTGTTTAAAATAATACCTGCTCGGATGTTTTTTCATGACTGTTAAATCATTCAGCCTGGCAAGGGTTTATATCTGTGAATAATATTGGTTTTGCTTTCATGAGTGTAGCAGTGCAGCAGTGTTGGTGTGTATGTCTTTAAGGTGGCACGCATAAATATGACGCATAAGGGAGTATTTGTGCTTGTAGCAACCAATTTAGTTTGACTTGTGGGGTCTTCTGCTGACATTTGAGTGGTATTTGCATCCCTTGCTCCAGATGAAGTTGGCATTTTGAAAAGTTTCGGCAGGCCCCCAATCTCTTCTCGTTAACAGTCTGAAGAGTGACAAGGAGTGGACATGCCTCTAGACGTTTGCATGTCCACAGCCRGCAATGAGATTGATAAGGTCCTGACTTTCAGGATATGCTATGCTATTTATTTATTTTAGATAGAAATAAAATGTGAGACTTAATACAATTGAAGGGGAYGTAACATTTCTGTTGAGGGCTTCATTTTTGGCAACAATTATTTGTGTAATTAAGTTTAGAATTTTTAGGTCACTTCAAGTGTTGTGAAAGARGATGTTTGCTTGAGTCATCATGTATTTTTTTATTTTTGTTCTGGACAAATCCACGACCGCTACTGTACCTGTGTGTGATTTTACATGTTTAAAGTCCCTCCATTAGTGTGATTGAACACAATTTTAGTGCTAAAACTAACAGTTCAGAAAGAAATCTAGCGGGAATACTCACC